ACTTCCGCCCAAGTCGAAGAGCTTTGAGCACGCTGCAGAGTGCCTCTGAAGTTATCTGACTTGTGGCTGCCGATCGATAGACTGATCACCTATCGATCTTTCTTCCCATCACCGAGCGCAACCCCGATGTACCCCTTGCCCCGCCGGCTTCGAATTGCGGACGGATTAACTGACTTGGGCCCCGCCAGCTGGAACAACTTGTGTGGTTGTTCCAATGACCGGACCACCTGCGTCGTGATTGCAAGCGGCGTGAGTAAAGTTTTTTGCAACCAATAAGTTGTGTCTGCCTCTCCGTTCACCAGCCCGCCCTAACGTACGACCAATTTCTAACGTAACTCGAGTCGGCTCTGGCCGTCCGAGACAGGGGCTTGAGGACAAATGCTGTTTGAAAGCTGCCAGGATATTGAGCAACCCCCTGGAACACAGAAGGAGAAGTTTCCCCTTATAGACACTTACCTTCCCCAGCTACCCCAGATCAGCTCGAGGTGCCCTGAAACTTGGTCAGCTTCCATTGGTGGCACCTTGGGGGAACTGCTGTTGAAAACCTACAGGAACATTGGGCAGCCCCTCAGGGCAGCTAGCACTTCAGGAACATAGAAGCACTTGTATCCACGTAACCATGCCCCCCACATGTCCAAGGCAGCCTGAGTGTAGCAGGACCAAGCCCCAGGAGCAGCTGTGGTACCCCCTAGTGACCACACAGCTCCTCCTCCACTTCAGCCCCTTGGGGTTCCCTCCCTTTTACTCTTGCCTACCAGGCATTTTATATTATTATTTTATTGCAAAAAGGGAGGCTGCCCAAGGGTTCCCATTCTGAGGGCAGCATGTCCGTCCTGTACCATAACCCCAATCTTGACTCTCAGCCCTAAGTGCTCCCCTGCTCCCGGCCCCATCAGTGCTTCTGGGCACTACTTGCCTTAAGGGCTATTTGTGGCCTCCTTTCATCCCTACAGCTAGACCCATGCCTCACAGATGGTACTTCAAGTTTCCACTGGATGTTCTGTCTCACAAGGCTCTCCCAAGTTCTCTGGGCCCCTGGCCTTGCCAACCATAGGCTTTGGTCCCCTCAGCTTAAGCCTGCTCTGGCCCTAGCCTTCTGCTTTCCAGGACCCTGGGTCTCTCACAGCAGCTGTAGCCTCTCCCGAACCCTCAGGCTTTGGGTCCTTAACCCCAGGCCAGGCTGCTTCCACTACCCAGTCTTTTGCTCTCAGGGTCCCTGACCCCAGGCCAGACTGCTCCAACTGGCCTTGGCACTCCCAGCCTCAACCTGTACTAGCCCACAGCCTTCTGGATCCCTGACCTTAGCCAGGCTGCCTGACCCTGGCCTTAATTCTCTCAGCCTAGCCTAACACTGCACACCAGCCCCTAGGTCCCTGACCCCTGGCTAGGCTGCCTGCTTCTGAGTGCCCTGCCAGACACCCATATCTGGCCCCCATACCTCCTCCATAGCCACAAGCTGGTTCTCCGGGTCTTAATCTGAACATAAATGCAAGCCCACTGGCTGTATAACAACAAAACTCTCTCCCCACACTGGACCAATAATTTGTGTGTGAGCTGTAAGTCCCCCTTAGCTATCTACTTGCACCTCTTGGGGACAGCTTGGGTGCTAGTCAGTCCCTTTCCGCAACCATCCTGCTTGGGAACTCCTCTGCCTGTAAGGCTAAACTAGCTACCTGGTCTCAGTGGCTTTGTGTGCCTCTAAAGCCCCACAACTTCCTGTCAGGTGGCTCTCTAGCCATCTACAGGGGTTCCCATTCTGTTCTTCTGACCAACCTGCCCTTCTCTTTGTAGTGGCTTAACCCTGCTGCTTGCAGCTTCTACTCCTGGGCTGCCTACTGCTGCTCTCTCCTTAAAGTAACAGGAGGTTTTGGCTTCCTGTTACACTGGGGGAAAGTTGACCTGGGTCAAGTGGCTTGCAGACCAAGCCCGATGAGGAGAGACTGGGGCACCTGGGCCTCTTCAGCCTCCGCAAGAGAAGGTTGAGAGGCAACCTTGTGGCTGCCTATAAGTTCATCACGGGGGCACAGAAGGGAATTGGTGAGGTATTATTCACCAAGGAGCCCCCGGGGGTCACAAGAAATAATGGCCACAAGCTAGCAGAGAGCAGATTTAGACTGGACATTAGGAAGAACTTCTTCACAGTCAGTGGCCAAGGTCTGGAACGGGCTCCCAAGGGAGGTGGTGCTCTCCCCTACCCTGGGGGTCTTCAAGAG